GTGCCGAGTGGACGTGCGCGGGCGGCCACGGCGTCGGAGGTGAGTGGTCCGTCGGCGCGTCGCGTCTTTCTCGGGAGCGACCCGCGGTCGAGCGTGGAGTCTGGACGTCCGCGTCGCGGGGGGTTGTTGAAGCGGCCTTCGCTCTTCGCCGCGGACGAGCGACGTAGCGATGACCCGCGACCGCCGCGCCGTCCCACGACTGGTACGGAGCGTGAGTCGCCGCTGCGTCTGGCCAGCGGCGTCTCAGCGCGCGGCGCTCGACCGGTGCACGTCACACACGTGTGCGACACTCGCAAGGCACACGCGGGCGACTCTCCAATGATGATGCCGACCCTCGCGGCTACGGGCAGCGCCGACCCGCCGCCGCAGCTGCCGTCTGCCTTCGAAGAACACCGGTCGGGCAACAGACTTGGACATCCCGTCAACGGACATTTGGGCAGTGGTTCATTCGGCGGTGGTTCGTTCGGCGGTGGTGCTTTAAACAGCGGTCCCTTGAACAGTGGTCGTCTGGGCGTTGCGGGGAACTCGGACCACTTTGGAGGCGGTTCCGGCGGTGAACACTACTCAGAGCACTTGGGTGCAGACCACTTGGGTGCAGACCACTTGGGTGTTGTTGGCGCAGGGAGTGGCGGTTCGGTGGCCGGTCATGGACCGCGAATGCAGCGGAGTACGGAATTGAGTGTCCGGGACGTGTTGCCGAGTCGTACGGTGCCGGAATTAGGGGGGCACACGCGGCCTCCATTGCGCAAGTTCGCGGGCGAAGAGTTCATACGTCTGCAACAACCCAAGGTGATCTCGCCGGACTGGGGCTCTTGTGCCGCGTACGCCAAAGCCCACCGATGCAAACTCGCCGACGGCGCCATTTCCGACCACCCCGATGACAGCGGCTTGGTCGTGGGCGTCGTCGTCACTGACGACCAGCTACTCGGCCAACTTGTCGACCAAGAATTCAAAGCTTGCGACCCGACCGTTAATATACTTAAGTCTCTCAGCTCCTCCTATTGCGAATGACTTGGACCATAAGCGATCAAGTCGACCACCCACTGAGCTCTAAGTGGACAATCAAAACCAGTCAATTAATCCCCCTCCCCTTCTAGTTAGTTTAGCCCCTCCACATTGCAGACGCTTTCGTTCGCGTCTTAAACCAACCAACCAACCTGTCGTTGTTTTACATTCTTTGTCTGGGATTTAATCTATGAGAGGGGCCAAGTGAAAGGATATCCAGGTCAGGAAGGTGAAGGGAGTGCCTCGGTCCAGGTGAAGGGAGGGCTTCGGTCTAGGTGAAGAGAGGGCCTCGGTCTAGGTGAAGCGGGGCCTTGGTCAGTTTTTAAAATGTCCACTTTCCAGAGTCCGTATTTCCAGCAGCAGTTGGCCATTGCGGTGCAAGCCGAAAGGGTGCTGGCAGTCCGCGACAAGGTAAGCGAAGGAGGCCCGGCTTGATATCCAAACAAGTGTCTGAATTTGACAGAGGGGGGGAGGGGGAACACTCACTCTGCGGTTCAGAAAAGCCTTGTCCGGCTGCGGTGGGGGCCACAGTTCTGCACTCAGTTGGTGAAGAGGAGCCGAGAAGCAGAAGAGTGTCGAGAGTACATTTCGGCCCTAACGCAGCCCAGCCACCCGGTCCGTGTAACCCGGACCGGGTACGTTTATAAACGATTATCAGACCCGGCGGCCGTGAACCATTCTGCCGCATTCGAAATACTCAGTGCCCCAACGGCCCTCGAACTCAACCAGAAGGAACGAGCGGCGCTTGTGCGTGAGATCGAGGCGCTCAAGAAACAGCAGAAAGATGAACTCCGGAAACTAGTCGACCTGAAACCCGACTTCAACGCCAACCCGGAACTCCGATTCTTGCTCAACCAACGCGAAGATGACGAAAGCTCCGATGACGCATGAGCATCTCACCCAACCTGGCTGTGTTCACCCAACACGGACAACGGTAGTCACTCAACAGAGGGCCCTGTATGTACCACCATCAGCACGCTATGGTCGGCAGCAGCCACTCACAGACTTTGTACGAACCCGATACGAGCACTCGGCCCGCTGGAGCACTCAGCCCGCTAGAGTACTCAGCCCGCTGGGCCGCTGTGCAACAAAGATTGCTTAGCTGCTGCGCTGCTAGCTGCTGCACCTACTAGCAGCAACCGCCGAAGCCAACCCACGCCGCTACAGTGGCAACTTGTCTGATCTAACAGTTCCGCCACACATCCTGGGCATTTCCCTCCAGCTGCCAGCTGCACATTTCCCTCTAGCAGCCTTCGCCCTGTTGCCTGGAGTCCAAACCGCTGGGACTTGGGAGGAGCTCGTCCCCGTCAGCTTTTTGTTTTTTGAAAAGAAGAATGGCGCGTGAGATCGTGCACATCCAGACAGGGCAGTGCGGCAACCAAACTGGTTTGAAGTTCTGGGAAGTAATATCAGACGAGCACGGAATCGGACAGGATGGATGGGCCATTGATCCAGCCGCAACGAAAACGGATTGTGCTTCGGTCTTCTATCACCAAGCCAATAACGATAGATTTGTCCCCCGGGCAGTTCTCGTAGACCTCGAATCGGGGGTGACTGACGCTATCAAAGGTACCGTCTACTCACACACCGCCCTACTTCAACACTTGTGTCAAACTCACACACTTTGTGTCAAACTCACACACTTTGTGTCAAACTCGCACACTTGTGTCAAACTCACACACCTTGTGTCAAACTCGCACACTGTGTCAAACTCACATACTGTGTCAATCCTGCACTTTTGCAGCCAGTCCGTTGGGAAAGTTGTTCAAGCCGGATAACTTTATCTTTGGTTACTCTGGAGCGGGTAATAACTGGGCGAAAGGCCATTACACGGACGGTGCGGGGATGGTGGAGCAGATTATGGACGTGGTGCATCGTGAGGCTGAGGCGTGTGACTGTTTGCAGGGTTTCCAATTGACACAGTCACTGGGTGGCGGTACTGGTTCTGGGTTAGGCACTTTGTTGTTGTCTAAGATCCGCGAAGAATTTCCAGACCGAATTCTGGAGTCATTTGCGGTGTTTCCTTCTCCGAAAGTTTCGGACACGGTGGTAGAGCCGTACAACGCGACATTGTCGGTGCATCAGTTAGTTGAGAATGCAGATGCGGTGCATGTTATTGACAACGAAGCTTTATACGACATTTGTTTAAACACACTGAAGTTGACGAAGCCGACGTACGACGATTTGAACAACTTAGTGTCACAGACGATGAGTGGTGTGACAGCTTGTGTGCGATTTCCTGGACAACTGAATTCGGATCTGCGGAAGCTGTGTGTCAATCTTATACCATTCCCCCGACTACACTTTTTCATGATAGGCTTTGCACCGTTATGTGGTTATGATGGTCAAGCATATCGTGCAGTAACGGTGGCGGAGTTAACGCAGCAATTGTTCGACGCGAAGAACATGATGTGCGCTTGCGATCCTCGAACAGGACGGTACCTAACGGCATCAGTAACCTTCCGCGGAAAGTTGAGTACGAAAGAAATGGACGACCAAATGGCTTCCATCCAACAAAAGAACTCCAATCACTTCGTCGACTGGATTCCTAACAATATTCTGTCCAGCGTCTGTAATGTACCTCCCCGTGGTCTGGACCTATCTGCCACATTCATCGGCAACTCCACAGCAATCAAAGGCATGTTCGATAGAGTCTACACACAGTTCACTGCTATGTTTAAACGTCGTGCGTACTTCTTCTGGTACGCAGCTGAAGGCATGGACGCTCTCGAATTCACCGAAGCCGGATCCAACATGAACGACCTTGTCGCAGAGTATGCCCAACACCAAGAACCTTGCGCTAATGACGACCTAGAATATGAAGACTAAAGCATCGACTCCCTAGCATCTACTCCCTAGCATCTACTCCATAGCGTCCTGCACCCTCCGAGTCAGGGTCGGGGTCAGGTTTCAGCCGTCGCTGTGTGTGTCCCGTCCCAGGGTGTACTCATGTGGCCCAATTGGGCGCAACATTTTCCTTTTCAAAACAACAATAAAAAACATGACGACTGTGCGCTCCACGGTACCCCACTCTGGTTCCTGCCCGCCTGCCTTCCTCTCCCTCATTTGGATGTCCTTTGCGCAGAGAGGGCTCCTGATCAGGACGGTGTTGCCCAGCCTGGTGAACAGCCGGAACTGTCACCGGGAGGACCCTATGGTGGTGTACTGTGAGGCGCCGGCGAACTGGAACTTGAATGAGGAGAGGGCGACCTTCGCTTCGCGTCCGCCGAGTCTCTACCCTTTTACCAATGCAGATGCGGATGCAGAGGCAAATGCGAAGCCGAATTGCGGTGGGGCGGATTCGAACCCGGGAGTGGCCGATTCCAACTCATCGTCGAACTCGGCTGGAGGAAACTCGGCCGCTGGAAGTTGGAGTCGTACCAGTGCCAGCGGGTGGAGCAAGACACGGACACCGTACTTCCGACACGCGGACAACGGCGGTCTATACCCAAAACAGGTGACGACGCCACTCATGTTCTCCGACTGCGGGTCGTTGAAGGAACTCCAGGCGGCAGAGCAAGCGCGCGACAAGACCTACGAAGAGACGCTGACGCGACAACCCACGGACTGGATGTTTCCCGCGGCAATGCGGCAGAGCAACTCCAACCACCCTGTGGAAGACCGAGGTGTTTTTGCCACTCTGTCTTACGCGGGCAATTTTGTGGCCGGCACGGAGCCTGCAATAAATTCTGGTGGCGCTCAAGACTGTGGTAGCACTCAAACTTCTGATGGCAGTCAAGACTATAGTGGCGCCCAAACTTGTGATGACGCCCAAGACCCCAGTTCCGTGTCTGGGAGAAAAGCTGAGTTGATAGACGGGGAACAATCGGGTCGACAGTGGATGATGGCGGCAGTGATTGATGGGCACTCCGGTTGGCAGACGTCGGAATATGTGGCGAAGAACTTAGCGAAGTTTGTGGACAGCGGTTTGCGACGTGTACGGGGAGTGCTGACAGCGGATCGATTGCGGGACGTGCTGACGGATTCCTTTTTGTCGCTGGATGAGAGTTTGCGACAGAAGGTGATTGGTGCGGTGGAGTTGGGGCACAGTTTGGCGGGTAAGCCGGGTGCGACGACAGCCTGTTGTCTTCTCAATGGTGAGTATGTGGTAATGGCGAATGTAGGTGATTCTCGTGCCTACTTGTGTCGTGCCGGACGGCCGGTGGCCCTGAATGCGTGTCACAATGCAGGAGACCCAGTGGAGAGTGCACGACTAAAGGCCGACCACCCGCATGACCCAGACATCATCCGTTGTCACGAACCGGCGCCTCAAAACACGCGTGTGGTCAGAGACCCGCCGCCGAACTGGTTACTCAAACTGGCTACGGTTACTGGAATACACGACTACTCGCAACCCCGCCCGCCTACGCCTGCCTGCTATGTCAAGGGCCGTCTGCAATTAACTCGTGCTTTCGGAGACTTCTATCTCAAAGACGCAAAATTCGCAAACGACTGGACACGCCGCAAACTCATGGTCGGCCTCCCCCATAGTTTTCCCTACATAACTGCGCGACCAGAGATCACCATACTCAAACAAGACTACGCCGCAGATGAGTTCATCATCATCGCCAGCGACGGCGTCTGGGATGAACTGACTCCGGAAGAAGCATGCGCTATCGCCAGCAACCATAACTCACCCGCCGCTGCCGCCACCGCCATCCAAAGAGCTGTAATCGAACGCGTTGCTTGGAAACACTACAAAACCAAAAGAGACATCACCTCCATGACCCCCAAACAACGCAGGGCACATATCGACGACATTACCTGCATTGTTATCGACCTCAAACCCCAGTAGACTCAATCGGGAAAGCCCGGTAGACTTAGGGGTACGGAATCTGTTGCAACAAGAAGGGAATCTGTTGCAACAGGGGCTGTTGTGCAACAGGGTTTTTTAAAAGCATCTTTTTGACCTCAAAACTATAGATCCGAGTGGATGTGTGCGATCTATTTTTAAAGAGAACATCAACGAAGTATTAGCTAAGGTATGCCAGCCGGGTCACATAGCTCTGCATACGGTTGAGTAGTTTCATCCTTTGTTTGCTGCACAGTGTTGTAGGGTATGACGTCAAGTGCACGCGGTCCTTGGTTAGATCAGTGTATGTTGTCAGCACGAGACTTACGTCATCCGGAGTACTCGAGTGGACAATTGAGTACTACCCGTGGTATTTCTGTGCAACGGATTCGGTACTCATATAACCCAGCGGCACCGCCCAGGTTCCGTCGCACAGTGCGACGGATTGGTCCTGATGGGAAAATAACATATGAGTTCGTACAAGACACACGCGGTTGCTTTAATGCAGACGGTTCTTACGCTAAAGATTATGAACTACCTCCCCTACAGTTCAATGTCTCTGCACAAGACAACGTACAAACAGATCAACAAGCTGGACAACATCTACAACCAGAACTAGTCAAGAATCAGATGCTCCTAGCACCCCCGCCTCTCTCACCCCTTGCTGACACCGGTAGGTCCACCGAAAGAGTGAGACAACTACAAGCTCTACTCGGAGACCAGATAGCCACCACACATGGAAAACCACCTCCTAGAGCCGCCCCCTTCTATGTAAGACAAATAAGAATGTGTCACTCACTTGCACACACCACACACACATATGACCGCACACACATGACCGCGCACACACATGACCGCACACACATGAGCGCACACACATGAGCGCACACATATGACCCATTATTTACGTAGCAATCCGGCGGGGTACACGCTGGTGATGAGACTCCCGTGGTCCTCCCCGTTTAAGTTAGTTTTTTTATATGGCTGAAAAAGCCTTCGAAACATTACTCTACGATGAAGACGATCTGTGTTGGATCCCTTCTATCGATCAAGAGTATCTGGACGGAAAGCAGCAAGCAAATGGGCGGCGGATAGTGTGCAATTTGGGCTGTGTCGAGTGGCAAACGGACCGTGTTGGTCTACAGCCTTTGTGCTGGAGGCTGAAGCCTTCCAGTTTGAATCTTGCCAATAATTCTCACAAAACGACGCAACGAGAAACTCAGTTGTCAATGGCACCTGTAGGGTACGTCGAAAGAGGAGGTGTGGAGTTTTCTATTATTCCACGGAGTTCAGAAGGATGGAAAGAGGTATCTCCCAGGTTCGTTTACACAGCCCGAAGCACGGAGACAAGCTCGACTGTGGTCACGACGCACCTGGACGGAGTACGTAATGGTGGTTCAATCTGCAGTAATGACTCGGTGGTTGTTACGACATCGTTGCGACCGGATCCTATCATATACGCCACAGAGCAGGCGATGATGGAGGGAGATATAGTTTTACCTGAGTTGGAATCTTTATTAAGGATAGCTGTAGCCGAAGCTGTAGTAGTTCCTCCTAGTGGGGAGGTGGACTTACTGTTCAGTGGTGGGTTAGACTCTACGATTTTGGCGGCTATAGTGAGTAGTATGTCGTCGAGTGTTAACTTGTGGAATGTCTCATTCGCTGGAGCCACAGCACCAGACCGTCTGACTGCCTTGGCCAGCTACGTCCAGCTCGTAGAACGTTCTCGACATGCGACAGGCTCGCAAAAAGTCTTACGGCTTTATTGCTACGATGTGTGCCCGGAAGAACACACACTATTACAGGATACGATTCTCTCGGCGTTGCACCCGCGAATGACATTAATGGACTACACCATCGGCAGCACGCTATTCATGGGATCGAGGATGCGCGGGAAACAGGTCACCTACGAGCAGGCCTGCGAATTACTGGGTCTGCCCTCTGCTCCCGACGAACGGCACGAGCACACACTCCTACGACTGCTGAAGGACGTGGATAACACCCTCTGCATGCCGCACCGCTCCACCTGGCGCGGAGAACCCGCGACCGGAGCGGAATCAGCCACCAAAGTGGACTCTATTGGGGGGGAACCGGCTGGGCATCGACAGGCTTCGTCCGGACAGGCTTCGTCCGGACAGGCTTCGTCCGGACAGGCTTCGTCCGGACATCGCCAGGCTTCGATCCTGCGGTGTTTCGCTTGCGAGAGATACGCGGCCAAGCCGAGCTGCGGGCTCTGTCGGAAGTGCTGTGTCGCAAGGGGACACGCGGAAGCCGTGCATCGTTGCGTTCCGCATAGAGTGAACCGCGCACCGAGCGAGACAGCGTCTGTCTTGACACGGCTGCAAACAAGTTGGCCGGCGCTGTACGCCGAGTTGCCAATGCGCGACCGACTCGTCGAAAAGCCTGGACCGAAAGTGTTGCTAAGTGGCAACGGAGCGGATGAACTGTTCGGCGGTTACGGACGTTATCGAACGTGCCAAAACGCGGAAGGATGTGGGGGCTGGCGTGACGAAATGGTCCGCGACCTGGCGAATCTTTGGACCAAAAACCTTGGTCGGGACACACGCGTACTCGGCACCGCCACGAACCATTGTGTGCGTGGCGCTCTCCCTTTCCTCAACCCCCGCCTGGTCGATTTCGTAGCCCACCTGCCCACCAACCTCCTGGCCCATGGCACGCCGGGATGCACGGCCCCCTTTTCGTTTGATAAAGCGCTCTTGAGGGAAGTGGCGCTGGATCGCCTTGACCTGGCCGTCTCGGCCCGTCTAAAAAAAAGAGCGATGCAGTTCGGGTCACGTTCTGCCATGTCCATCTTCGTCGACACGGAGCACAGCCGCCGGTCGTACAAGGGTGATTCGCTCTTCACCGACGTTTCTTGACACCGACGTTTCTTGACACATCATTGCTGTAACGTTGCGACCAGAAAAAATTGCTACATCGTTTGCGCTGTAACCGGTTGGTCACAAGTAGTTGACCGCTGTAGATGTTGTCTACTCAAAACGCACTCCACTGCTGTACAATAAAAAATGACTCACCTGTTGTGGGTCGTCATAAACCAGCGGGTCTCAGCTTTCTCGACAGATGGGTAGGTCTGGGTAGTGCGGCGGGTTTCCTATGTTTCGGGGGTCGCCATTCGGCGGGGTTGCGAGAATCTGGACGTGGAACAGGGTAAGGCTTGTCATGTCGATTGACGTGTCGATCGATTCCGTGTCGATCGATTCCATTAGTGAAGGTAGAAGGCTTCTTCTCCCAGCGTGGATCATTGAAGTTACCGGACTCGGGATTTCTAAACTCCAGTTCTCTCGAGTTAATACCGCCGGAGCCCCACTTTGTGCGGAGTTTGACGGAAGGTTCGTCGAGTTCTCCTCTTCCTCCACTATAAACCCAAGAGTTGTCGGGGTCTCGGCGGTGGGCAGTCTCGTCAAAGGGTAGTACCTCCGGTGACACGGAGCCTAGTTCTTCCTCGGAGCGGGCGAATCGTTTGTTTGAAGAAATCCAATATTTGCTCCGCGGTCCTTTCTTCCACTCCACGTCAGGGGAGATGCGCCTTTCTTCTGCCTGAGAGCGCCTCCGTCCGACCTTGAGCAACCTGCCTAGTATGGAATTCCGTTTCTTCGACTCGCGATCAGGAGAACCAAATTCCGATCCAGCTTCCGAACGCTGTTCGGTGTCATTGACTAAGAAGAGTTTGGAGCGTCGCTTGGCTGGGGAACGTTCCAAGGAGCGTCCGCGGCGAGGGGGCTCCTTGGAGAGAAGGTTGCCAGCCGATCGCGAGCGGGCGCGTTCAGGTCTTTCTGGCCCCGGACGTTTGAATAGCTCCATTGTCGACTTCCAGAATCCTTTCTTTACCTTTGATTGGTCCCTGGGGGGACTGACATCCCTCGGCAGACTCGTGAGAGAGTCCGCCAGAAAGTATTTCATCGAGGACTTGTCCATGGACTTCATGGAACCAAGTGAGTTCTGGGACTGCATCGGGCCTACGTGCCGCATCGTATTGAGGCCATAGTAGCCAGGACTGACTTGGTTCCAGGGCTCGGCCACTCTTATGGATGCGACAAGGCCACCTAAAAAGACTGTCTTCATGATGGCGTTAACTGCACCCGAGTTTGCACGTGGTTAATTGGCACCCCGATGGTTGTTCCCTCACCTTTGTCGAAGCCGCCGAGACTCCCATCGCAGACCATCATCCGGTCCGCTCGGCTCGGCCTCATGTTAAAAAATGAGGGACCAAGAAATGGTGCTGCCCACGCCGGGCACCGTCTACGACGTACACATGACCCCCCAGCTCCTTGGCCCCGATGGCCTCACAGCACCCGGCCCCGATGGGCTCACAGCACCCGTCCTGAGTCCCAACGGCCTCACAGCACCCGTCCTGAGTCCCGAGGACGACCGGGTGGTCTTTCTCTTCGACGTTGACGGCACGCTCTGCGAGTCGCAACAACAAGTCGCACCCGACATGAAGGCGTTGCTTCGTGAAGCCGCCCAAACCGTCGACGTTGGCCTCGTCAGCGGTTCCGACGCCGCCAAAGTACTGCGCCAGTTCGGCGTCGAACGGAAAGAACAACTTGCCCAGTTCGGCGTCCGGTTCTGCATGTTCGAAAATGGCGTCCTTTCTTACGACCTCGCCAAGCATCAAACGCTACATGAAGGTATGCCCCCCCCCTCCACCCCCC